GAGCCATTTCTGAAGCGATTGGTAACAGGGGACGAAAATTGGATCATATACGACAATAATGTGCGCAAAAGATCATGGTCCAAGAGTGGTGAAGCTCAACAAATGATTGCAAAGCCAGGATTGACGGCTCGAAATGCTATGCTGAGTGTTTGGTGGGATTGGAAAGGAATCATCCACTATGAGCTGCTTCAGCCTGGTGGAACGATTGATTCTTCATTTTACTGCCAACAACTGATGAGATTGAAGCAAGCAATCGAAAAAAACGGCTAGAAGTGATCAACAGAAAGGGTTTCGTCGTCCATCAGAACAACAATACACCACACCATATTTTTATGACTCGGCAAAAATTGGGAGAGCGTGGCTGTGAAGTTTTGATGCATTCACCATATAGCCCTACCATTAATTAGATAATTATTTTTTGACAGCTTAAGCAACCGCTACACGTTTTCCGACAGGGTTCGCAACAAATTTGTCGCGCGGCCGCTTACAGAATAAATGGCTGCTTTGTTGTAAGTAGAAGCGCTGCGGTCCATAAAATTGTCACTGTATTAGCAAAAGGTATGTAAAAGAGCCGTGCGGAAACTTCTTCACTTCAAATAGTATCTGAAAAGGTTAGAAAAGAGAGCGAGATAAATATGCGCAAAGGGGAGACGGGGGGGAGGGGGGCGCCTTAAGTGAGCGCATGGATACGAATGGAATGACGTGAGCGGCAGACATTTCGGCGGTCGTGTGTAAAGCACATTTACTTACACATTCCTACATACACATATAAAGGGCGAACTAAAAAGCTCATGAGCGCTGCGCCGTCAGACAATCAGTCGCTTGTCAAACGCTGTGGATTTCTCGCCTAAATAGTTAGTAAAGTCATCAAAAATATGTGTCTTTCAAACGCACATAGCAACATTTAGGTATATTCTTAGGAATATTTACTTAGTATGTGCTAAGTTGTAAGCTGACTGAGCTTAACTAAGCAAAGCCATGCGTCTCAATTTTGAGAATTCGGTACGCCTTATAAGAGCTCGGCGCGTACATGAAATAGAGCTAACTCTATAAATATGAGTAAATGCACTTAGTTTTGTATGTGTTGGTGTAAGAAATGTGCGAATAATTACTAGGCGAACAGGCGATAGATGAACCGAAGAGCGGAATGAGCAGTGATGTGTAAATTTTAGGCAACGAACCCAAGGCCCTGGAAACAAAGTAGCACTCATCTCATATACCTAATTAGTTGCGAAACTATTATAGAACCAGGTGGCAACGCTGCGGCCTTCAGCTGTACTCTGGATATAGGCAATGGCAACAAGAGCCGTTGCGGCGGCTAAAGCAAAGTGATGTGGCGTTTTATTGCACGCTCAAATGTAAACAATCCAATGACAGCAATTGCAACAGCCCGACGACGAAGGCAAAGCGAATGTCTACATTATAAATAGCGAACTGAAAAAAAAACACGAAACGGCAACAGCAACAACAACAATCGTGCTAGGCGCAAGCATTAAACAAGCGCTAATAAGATAGCGCGACAGCTTATCTCGCCCGATTATTGCCCGCGATAACACCAATGCCAGCCAACAAAAAACCGCCGGCGCTGGTGTTTGGCCAACGCGTTAACCGCTGTCACCGGCAAATGTCAATAGTAATTGACATATGACGACTGAGTGACAAACGCACGACGCTGCAACGCCCGACATACACACACCGGCGCGCGCCCTTACCAATGTAGCTTGTATGCTCTGGCTCTAGACAGCGCCAGCAACTGCGCTGCTTTCGCTTTCAACGGTGTAGGTAGGTGCGGCAAGCCGCCTATTTTGATGGCTGAGCGGGGTAATCGGGTTGTGGCGTTGCTAAGCGGCATATCGGTAAGCAAACAAGCAGCCCGTTTGATTAGGTGCTGAACAATCAAACTTCAAAGGCATTTGTGCCGCCAATTTGTCATTAATGTCATATAGACAAGATCGCGGTTGTCGGAAATTACAGCGTAAACGGCGACGTTGGCAGCGTTTCGTACAGCGGCGTTGCAGTCGCCTCAGTCGTGGCAAATTATAGTTGATGGCGGCTAATCTGATAAAAGAGATATGAATGAGACGTGCGCCGAAGTGGATCAATATAACCAATAAATTCCCAATTGCACCATTTTCTTGTGGCTCTCCGACCGCCCTCTCGTTGGTGGTATGACACCTTTGATCTTCAGCGCCCCCAAAAATAGATTTATATGTGTTTATAGCCATACTCAACTTTTTTTTACACTCATGTGGGTAACTGATGTATTATGTTGGTACTTTTGGTACAGACTTCAGCTTCATTTCGTTGGTGGCTAATGAGTTTGCGCTAATTGAGTTTTAAGTGTTGACATTGCCCCTAAGTACATTTTACGAATATCGACATCAAATGTCTGCTGTTTTCGACGCTAGCTGTGTTTCCACGGAATTTTTGGGATTTATGCAAATTTAGAGGTAATAAAAACTATGGATTCTTAGAAATTTATTGGTTAAGTACGAAGTTATTGTAGTGTGTCAACTTAGAGATTATTGTAAAAAAATTTTAATTCTCCGACAAAAGAATGAAAAAATGTGAACAATGAATATCAACGAATTAAAATGCTGTTTATTTTTAGCGATTAGCGTACACTTTTCTATGAGCTTAGCGTGTTCCAAGCGATTTTTTGTGAACTTGCTTTATATTTAAGTAAGGGCCTTAAGTACGCGCCAAACTAAGTACTTTTCGCAAATTCAAAACATTAAGTGGTTTTTAAAAATTATCTAACTCAAAATATTACCTTGTTTCTTTTGGCATTAACTTTGTAGCTACAACAATAATAAAATCCTATAGAGAAAGGAAAGTTAAACATAGGAAGTGGTAGCGGCGATTTCAGCTATTCTTGGTAATAAACTAGCTAGCAATAGTTCCATTTAGGGGTTACATGGGTTGCGTTGAGGCAAAAACGGTCTATTCTAAATATTTTTACCGTAAAAAACTAAAATTATATTACAATATTTTGTTATTTTAAAGATTTGAATGAAATTTCTAATGGAAAATATTCAAAACTGGGTCATTACGACATCATTTCCGGCAGACCCTCGGAAAAAAGGTCGCTCGGCGTTGACAGCAGAACTTCTTAGAGAATAATCAAAAGTGAAGGGAATAAAATACATGCTTTAGTTAAAAAAATTGAAAATTTAATTCTTGCAGACGTTTTTATCAAAAAATGCAAACTTTTAGGAGAATTCCTCGACGATTTTTAAATAGTTGTAAGTGAATCAAAAAAATTCGTTCTTTAAAAACCTTCTAAATTGTATTTTGAAGACCTTTCATTAAGATCTGTTAACTAATTTGTGAGAAACCTTGATAACTGGTCTCGAAAATAGAGTTTTGAGAAAAATGCGTTTAAAGTTTTAGGTGACTAGTTGACTGTAACTCTAAAACTGTTACTCAATAATCCAGGGTATTTTTTTGAAGCCGTGAAACCCATGTAACTTTCTTGATAAGAGTTGGCAAATAATGCCTGTAATGGGTTTTATTGAGACATCTTTATCAATGTTCCATGTTTAGATCGCTTAAGGGGTTACCCGGGTTTCCTTGCGTAAAAAACAGCATTTTTCAACAATTATTTTTTCTTTTCATATTAAAAATGAAATATTTTATTGTCACAAACATACACTATTAACAAAGAAATCATTTAATTTCGGCAAAAAGATTTAAATTTCAGTGAATATTTCGAAACAATTTTTTCCAAATAGTTGAAATTGAAAAAAGTCCTCCTTATATCTCAAAGACCTGTGTAAAATTACACGAAGACCGGTTGAGAAGTTCTCGAAAAATCTTGCCAACCGTCTTCAAAAACACTGTTTCGAGAAACCGCGTTTAAAGATTTGAGTGAACAGAGAGCTATCCTCGAGATCACAAGTTCTCAAGGCTGTATCTCAGGAACTATTACTTAGATCAATTTGAAAATTTAGAACCATATTCTAGAGGTGTTGAAGAATTTAATATTACAATTAAAAATTCAATTTTTTGAAAGCGTAAACCCATGAAACGACTCAAAAATTAATGGAGTCTTAATTTAAGTTAGTTTAAGATTTAGTTTATTTAATGGAATCTACAGAGGATGTATTCGAAAAATTGATGATCCCACTTTGTAAAAATGCTATGTCGCCAATTGAGTGCGTATCGCAGGTAATTTCAATATATATTTTCAACTTAATCATCCTTCAGTATCTGTTAAAAAAAAAAGAAGAATAAGGCACTTTTGGTTGAAATATGAACTTATGAAACAAAAAATAATCATTTTTATACTTTCATAAAAGTTTACCAAAATCATTTCTCTCCACTCATTCCTCATCACAACTAATAACTGCAGAGCAGTATTTAGGTGCCTCGGCAAAACAAGGGTTAAGGAATTGAAAAGTTATAACTAAATTGCTTGGAATTTACAGCTACATCTTGATAGTTCTATAAATTCCTATAGCTATCACACTCATATAATAAGCCGAAGCTATTGGTGGTAACACACACGCCGTTGATTTACAATCACACAAACACGCAGGCAAGTATGTGCTGCTTTTCACCGAAACTAATTTCTTTTTAAGCCTTGTAAATATTTGTTTGTGTTTAGTAAACGAAAGCAAATAGCTAATCGAGTGCTGGAAAATATTCCCATAAACACGACAAGTTTCAGCGTAAATGCTAGTAGAAACTATTGTTTACCGTCGAATGTCAAACAGTTTGTCGGCATATCTAAATCAACTCATTCGCTTGCTCGCCGACTGATAAGCAAACTGCATACATACATATGTATACTTATATAAGTTTATATGTATATTTATTGATGTCTGTGTGTTTCTGCAGGTACGTTAGTGTAATCTATACATATTAATGCGAACCCATACTTACTGCCCCATTAAAAAAGGTACTTTGCTATTTATATACTGCGAGCACACCTATGTTTGTATATATGCACGAATGGAAACGAGAAAACAAAATGAGTAAATGAAAATTCAAGGGCGTTCAAGTCAATGTGTGAAGTTAGATTTTTATTCAAATACACGAAATCGGACAGATAATGCAACTTCACAGATAGTAAAATCCGAAATACTTAAAATGTTTATCTATGTGTTTTTTTTTGTCTTTGTATCTATGTATGTGAAGGTAGTATTTGCGATATCCTTAGAGACGAAAGCGAATAATAAAGAAAATTAAACGTAAACTTACTTTGCTAGTTACTTAATGTATATGGACGCTATGCTAAGTTCATTTTAGTTATGCCTTTGCAAGTATAAGTATATATATGTACGAGTGTGTGTGTATTGTCATATGTGAAGCGCTCATGTGAGCGCACACCTACATAGTATTTGCACTAGCCTAGTGTGTCGAACGTTTGGAACGATAAGATTGTTTGGAAGCCTAATAATCGCAAGAGACTTAAAGTTAAACTAGTAATATCCAGAATACATATATATATATAAGTAAGTATGCGAAAAATGTGCTTAAGAACTATGCAAGTTAAATGCAAAAATCAAAAGGTCCATTCGGGATACTTAGATTAGAACTGATTTTCAGCTTGTCACTCCCACTAATTAATGTAAACGAACCAGAGTCCTGTGTAGATCACAAATATAAGGCCAAATGTTTTGCGCTCCGCTTGCTTGAGCACCTTATCACTTAATCAGTCACCGCGATCAGATCTATAGACGACGCGTTACCGACCTTGGTGCAAGCGGGCAAGAGTGTGACCGTCTTCGCATCCAAATTACGTGACGCCGAAATGGAACCGCCATTGCCGCCTGTCGTGGATTGGAAAATATCCGCAACGCTGACGGGTAGTGAGAGCAGATGCTCATTGCCGGGACCCAAGCCGCTGCCTGTCATGCCGGCGAGGTTATGTGTTAGACTGTGGCGCCGTAAATCGCAGTTACGTCGGAAGACCTTGCCACAGGAACTGCAGTTGTATGGCTTGATATCGGTGTGCGTGAGTAGATGCGTCTTTAGATTCGAACGCTGATTGAAGGAGCGATTGCAGACGGGGCATTTGTGTGGCGACTCCTCCATGTGTAGAATCTTATGGACGGCGAGGGTGCGCGATTGGCAGAAGCCCTTGCCGCACTCAGCGCACTTGAAGGGCTTTTCCTTTGAGTGAATGTATCTGAGGGGTGAGAATAAGGGTGACAGGAAAAGAAATTGCAATTATTATACAAAAAGTGTGGTTATTATTTATCGAAAAAGTTTAACTAAATATATAGAAATTAATATGTAGTTTATGTCAGTAATCGCGCAATGCTGCCTACCTGTGATCTCTGAGGTGATCTTGCCGACGAAATGCTTTGCCGCAGATATCGCACGAGTAGGGTCGTTCGTCGGTGTGCGTGCGCTCGTGTATGAGTAGATTGTAGGACTTAGTGAACTGGCGGTTACAGAATTTGCAAATGAACTGCTTTTTGGCGCGCTGTGAATTGGCAGACGCGGCAGCAACAGCCGTACCGCCCGCACCGCCACTGCCAGCATTGAGTGCGCTCGCCTCGTTCAGAGCGCTGGCAGCGGAACCTTCATTTATGACCAGCTGTTGATGGTTTAGCTTGTCTTGGAACATGGTGGCTTGTAGTGATGAAATCGATTCGATATCAGTCGATAGGGATTGCTGTTGTTGTTGCTGTGTGTTCAGCTGTTGCTGTTGCTGGTTAAGGCAGTTGAACGCGTTGGTGTTGAATATGAAGTTGTTGTAGCTACTCTCGAGTTCAGCAGCCTCAAACGACAGCCCCTCCTCGCCGTCCAGCAACGGCAGGTCACAATCGCCGAGGTCACTGGTGGAGAGGTCAGTGCCGGTGGCGCCCGCACTTTGCAACAGCGTCTGTATAGCGTTTGCCGTGTTGGCGTTACGTTGCGTTTTGGACGCCTCCTGGCATAGGTTGGCCGTATCCACCGCTTGCAGCTCTTGTTGCTGTTGTTGTTGCGCTGACGCCACAGTTGTTACCGTTGTTGTTAAGTTATAGTTGTTGTTGCTGGTTTCTTCTGCAGTGATGCCACTGGTGGTGCAACTGGCACTTGTTTCGCCATCGCCGCTTCCATCGCTGCTGCTGTTATTGTTGTTGGCGGTTATGGTATTGAAGCGGAAGACGTCCGATTTGCCGGTAATGCGCTGCAGCGCCAAGTACGACTCCAGCGCTTGCAGATTGAGCGCCGCTGCAGCAGGTGAGTTGACGGGTAGGAGTGCGGCCTGCTGTAGGCTGCTGACCATGGTGCCCTGTAAGGAGAGCACAACAGCGGCCGCGGCGGCGAGGTCATTCGTAGTTGACACATTTGCCAACGTTGATGCGCTGCTGTTGTTGGCGCTGTTATTAATATTGTTGTTGTTGTTGTTGTGGTTGCCACCATTGTTGCCACTGTCGCACTTACTCAACGGCAGCGTTGACGCTTGTTGGGTGGATGGCGTGCTCATGCTGAGGCCGTGGTTGCTCTGCAGCTGCGGTTCGCTGCCGGCGCCATTCGCATCTTTTGCCAACGCCAATGCCAGTGCGGCCACGGCTGGGCTAGAAATCGTTGCGGAGGTGCTGCAGTTCGGGGCAGAGTTCGTTTTCTGGCTATGTGCGCCACTAGCGGCAATACTATTATTGTTGTTGTTATTGGCGCTCTGCGCATTCTTGTTGCTGTTGCTCTGTTGCTGCTGCTGCTGCTCAAGTGCCGCTGCAACGGAAGTGGCATGCAGCTCGGCGGCGCACAGTTCCTCCTTAATTAAAGTGGTCAAGGCAGCGTTTGTGGCCGCAGCATTGGCTGTTCGTGTTGTTGTCGCTGGAAATTGTACCGCTGAGGACTGCACATGCACATGTCGCTGTTGTGATTGCGTATGGTGTTGTTGTTGTTGTTGCTGCTGCTGTAGGCGCTGTGTTTGCATTTGCTGTTTAAACTTCTGCAATTGCTGTTGTTGTTGTGGTAATTTCTGTTGCTGACCCGGTTGCATGCCTAGCTGTGCCTGCGATTGCTGTTGTGACTGCTGTCTCTGTGCATGTTGCTGTTGTTGTTGCTGCTGCTTCATATGCAGTTGTTGTTTAACACGGTTTTGTAGTAGTTGTTGTTGTTGCACACCGTTGCCAGCGGCATTCGGGCTTGTGGAGGAGTCCATCGCGCATGCGCAGCAGGATATCGCCCAATATGCAGCGAACTCTTGGTTAGCGCGCCGGCTGCCTGTCCGCGTGGCTGCTTAGTGATTGCCAGTTGTTGCGCAAGCGCACCTACGCAAGCTAACGACCAGCTTGCTGCTGGCTATCGATGATGTGGCAGTTGTTGTGATAGCTGTTGTAGTAGCTGCTGTTGTTGTTGTTGTTGTTAATATGACTTTTACCACTAGCGCTACGTTCTTTTAGCCGTTAAACTTTAAGTAGAGAATGTTCGTGCTGTTGTTGCTGTTGTTGTTGTGCTCTTCTGCTTCTTCGTCTTCGTCTTCTTCTTCCTCTTCTTATTATTGCTGCTTCACTGGCATGCTGCTGCGTTCGCTTGTGGATGCCACGGCGAGTGTATGAATATTAAAAATAACACGCCACCATAAATCACCGCTTAGTCACGCGCTCAAAAAGTCATAAAAATCGAATTTGACATTCGCACAAAAACAACAAGAAAGTAGCGAGACACTATTGCAAGCGCAGCGCTAAAGGCGAGCAAAAACCGCTGGCATATTAACAAACAAATTGATCGCCAACAATTACCTTTTGTTGTTTTTCTTGTAATAATGTATGTGCGAATATTTTTGTTGTATTTGAAATAATTATATATATTTTTACTTCCCACTTTGCACCACCTGCATCTGCGTATGCGCTTCCAAGCGCTGCCCAGCCTCGTGGTCACTGAGCTGATTGGTCGTTTGCGGTTTCGCACTGCCGCAACTGAAGCGGCTATAGATCACACGTAAGAATCCTGGTGGCGCGCTAACTAGCTTCGTGTGGCTGCTTGGTCTGTAGTCGCGGCTGGTGAGGCGGCGCCGCGTCGGCAATTAACTGGCACTTGTGCGCAAACTGTTTCCACCGTCGAATGACAAGGGCGGCACGTGCGCAACCAGCGACGTTGCGGACCACACGCACTTTGTTGGCTTAGGCACTTGAGCGCGTGTTTTCAATGTGTGCAATTAACACGAGCCACGAGCTCCGTCAACAACACACAATTTAAACAGTTCAAAGCAAATAAGCAAATACAACAAAAACACAAATAACGCAAGTAATAAGTCTTATGCAATTGCTAACGAAATGTTTTCAGTAGAACGCTATATTTTGTTGTTGTTGTTGTTAAACAGTACTTTCTTTTCTAACTGCCTTTCCGCTCACACAGTCGCAAACACCTTGAAAGGTGGTTAATTGTGGCTTTTGTTACAACTCTGACGCTTCGACGCTGTGCGGCTGACGACTGTCCACACTACCTTCTTGCGATAAGACGCGTTCACTACCGAATGCAATATTATCGAGAACGCTATCATCAAAAAATAAAAAATAAATATATATATATATGTAATAAAACACGCGCACAAAACAAAAACAAATACAAAAAAAAAAAAAGAAACAGCTGCAACGCTGTCGCTGCTCTGTGCTTTCAGAGTGATGAGTAAGTGGTGTATGACGTGCGCGTAATGTGGCTTCGCGTTGAGGCGCGCACAATGTTGGGCAAGTCCACGGAACAACTAAAAGTCCATTGCGTCGCTGGTTTGACGCGGACCTCCTGTGCAACAAGCAGAGAAACCATAACCGGCGCGCTACACAACCAATAGCACACACACACACACACACACACATGCAACGTAGACAAACCTGCCAGCCGAGGCAACGCGCTTCGCTACTCACTCATTTACTGAGCGCACTCACCTCAGCACCCATACAAACGCAAACGCACATAAACATAAACAAATAAATGACCTATGCACAGACGATCGACAGCGCTGTATGTGCACGTTTGTGTAAGTGCAAGCGCGTATGTGTGCGATGCCAAACTGAGTCGAAACACTCGTCTAAAGAGCGCGCGATTTCACCTAGTCAAGATGTTGGTGTTTGCTTGTCTTTGCACGTGTGGGTATTAAATTGCTCGTTCATATACGCTTGCAGCGCTCACGCTCACACACGTACGTACGCGTACGCTGCCACACACGCACACACACACACAAATGTATAACCAGTTTCTTTGCGATCTTTTTCTTTTGCTGCCTCTTAACGGGTTTGCGCTCTCAAACGCTTTTGGCTCCGGCAAATGTTAAGACGCGTTGAGATTGAATAGTTACAACCCGCAGAACGAGTTAGCTTGAACCGCAGTTAACTGATGGCCAACACACGTTTGCCGCCGCTTAATGGTTAGTTCGTTGGCTGGCTCGCTGCCTAGCTGGCTGAGTGGCGAAATCCAGGCATTAATGCAGCGATCAATGGGAATGCAAACGAGTTGTAAACTCGCGTGGGTGTAGTTATTTATACACAACAAACCAGCAACGACGATCGAATTCTCTTGATATTCAAATGAGAAGACAAAAGCTTATAAATATTTATGTACACATGTACAATAATGAAATTAATGATAAAATAACACCTTGGAATAAAGGCCTAACACACTTTTTATGAGATTTGGGTGAATGTTATAAATCTATAAAAGAAATTAGGAAACTTTTGTTCGCCACGACAGAAAGCTCGTTCGTTATATCGACGAGCTATGCGAACATGTGATTTCAACTTCTTAAGCTGAACCTGAATATGAATGCATGTGTTGAAAACAAATTTTCTTACTTTTTCGCACAGAACGGCACGAACATAGTTATGCTTCTTTAGCTCTTATTCTCGACATTATAGGGCCTTAAGTTTAAACTTCTTGTGCAAGTGGATTTTTATACCAACATTTTTTCTTAAAACTATTTGCAACGTGGCTCCTATTAAACCACAAATATAACACCAGACGACACAACTTTTGGGTCTGACTTTTGCATGTTAAATTTCAGTTTCTCTTACACCAAAAATAAGGGAAAAAGTTTTTTCATTAAAGTTGATTTTGTAGGCGGCAAATGGGAGACATCCGTCTGCAAGCAGCGGATACCGTGAAATATCTAGAGCCCATCCTGAATAGGAAGCTTTCATGGAAGCCGGATACTGCAGAAAGAGCAAAAAACGCATCGATTACCTTGTACAGCTGTGGACGAGTAATTGGCAAAAGATGAGGCCTCTAAACGAAAGCGGTCCTCATACTTTACGACACCATTGCCAACCACATTATGTTCAACGGAGTTCTATGAAAACCAGACTTGCAAAGAAACTCAAGAGCGTTCAACGGGCGGCGCTCAGGCCACTCCAACCATGACACTTAACGACTCTTGGACATATTGCTCGTGGATATCCCAGAATGTGTACGGTTGCGAGAGTTGCCATCAGATTAAAGGAGGCTGGGTTCCCAAAAGATCATCTGTCTGAACACTCAGAAATCCTCACTTTAACTTGATAGCGGATGACTTGAATCATGGAGTCCTCAAACCGAACTCTGGCGGCTTCTTTTCTACTCATATACTGTCCAGGGATTTGTGGAAGGGAGTTGGAGGAAAGAGAAAACACTTGGGGATAAAGTTGGGGAAGGGGTGTACTGTCAGGAGCTGTCTAGTAACTCCAGCTTCAAATTTCCTGACTATTGCAGCGTCTTCCAGGCCGAGATTGCAGCCATTAAGGTAGCTCCAGAGTGCAGCCGCCTTCAGAGAAGCGTCCATCCACTCATTAACACTGTGTTCAGGGCTGGTTAAAGAGTGCCTAACCTCGTTATCAATGGCATCGATAGACTTGTTATGGGTTCCAGGCCAAATTGCCTTATTGGCGTTAACGCAGTAAAGCTGGTAATCCTTCCAGACATTACCTGCATAAGCTGTATGGAAGAAGATGAGGTGGAAACAACTCAATACTTCTTCTTTGGGAGGTCAAGATTTAAATACTTGGGAGCGCATACCTTCAGACATCCCACAAAGCTGGCGAGAATGGAAATTAAACGCCGGTGCAAATTTGTACTGGCTTCTAAGCGTTTTGATAATTTATAGTCCGAACACAGGAGTTCTTCTTTTCTATGGCCTCATAAAGGAAACTTTTCAGTTGAGGAAATATCTTCACAAAGGGTATTATTGTTGAGATAAAATTTTTTTGTAGTTTTGCTTTATTATATGATGTTGCACACACTACTGTTATATCCTCTGTTCGACATGGTGCCATAGTAAAAAGTTCAATATATAGTATACTTTATAATATTGTATTTACTGCACTTGCAGACGCAATAGCCGATAAAAATGGAGCGTTAACAATTTGTGGTCCCCCCACGACATAACAATAATCGTACCTTCAGTTTCTAAGCACCTAAGCAGAACTATTTGAAACAATCAGAGTAATCAGATAAATAATAATTAGTGAAAGTTCATCAGCTAACTCTTTTGGATAGTTCGGCAATGGAATGCAGATATGAAAAATACTCAAAGTTGCACAAGTACTTTGTATTTACAAAATTATGGAAAGGCAAATACTATTAAATTTGGAAAAAATTCGAGATACAAAGTGCAGATAAGTCCTTCTCCCCCTGATCTCTCTCCCGAAATGGAGGTCCTCCTCTTTCTCTGCTGAATCAAACACATTCAAAGCTGGAGTGTTATCTTTCATCCGTAGAACATGACCCAACTAGTGCAGGCGCTGTTTCTTGATTCGCTGAACTATGTCAATGTCGACTTATATCTCGTGCATCTCATCGACAGAGGGCCACAATTCATCCACAACACTTTTCTCTCGAACACTCCTAAGGCCGACTCATCAGATGTTGTCATTGTCCATGTCTTCGCACCATATAGAAGGACGGGGATGATGAGTGACTTGTAAAGTTTCGTCTTTGTTCGTCGAGAGAGGACTTTACTTTTCAATTACTTTCCTACTCAGACTACTTTGCCTCTGTTGGCAAGAGTTATTTTGCGTTGGATTTCAAGACTGATATTGTTGTTGATGTTGATGTTGGTTTCAAGATAGACCTAGTTGTCTGCCACCTCAAAGTTAATCTAACCTTAGCCAGTCTTTTTTAGCTTTCTACTTTTGTAAGCCATGGTTCACCACGTTCAATCCTTTATTTTCATTTCGTTTTTACTTAAAGTAACAAACACTTCCATATCCATATACATACTTAGTATATAGCCATGTATTTATACATCTACTGTGCTACTTTGCCAACATTTTCTACGATCTGA